GCTGCCACCTCCATAGAAGGCGCACACCGGCGTAATTAATCCCTCGACGAGCCTACCAACAACTAATCCCTCAACGAGCCTACCAACAACTAGGTTTACTTCTACACCCTTGCTTCTTCGCTGAAATATGCTTGTACATGTTTAAGGTTTCTTCAAAAACCAGTTTGTATCTGCATGTTGCGTGTGAACTCATTTTTTATTTCCTAGTTCTCTTGTGTATCAGTTGCTTCCATTTGGGGCTTGGGTGAATACAGAGTTTATTAGTACGGGTTGTCCCAAACCCCTCAATTATCTGTCCTGCTTTGTGCATTTCATCGATTCCCAGTTCTATGCTTAGGGATTGTCTGATTGGATTAAAGGTTGATCTAAAATATTGTAGACATTTTTTTTCCCTACTGTTTGATTTTATGTTGACCGTTGATTTCTTAATTGAAACTCAGGATTCGTTTGGGACAGTTTTCTTAATGATTTTTAAAGCAATTTTTTAGCACAAAAAGTTTATTTTTTGTACTAATAAGCCGCTTTAAGAAGCAGTTAGAAAGCCGTCTCAAACTTGAGGAGCTTTCTTAAGGGGCTGTGGATGGATACTATTGTTTTATCTCGAATAGGCTGTCCTAAATCCCTTGCTTATTCTGATATGATTGTCTTAAATCACTGCTTGTATGAGGGTTATTTGTCAGGGTTTCAAAAATTGATCAAGCTTTTCTGTTTAAGATGTAATGTTTTGTTGGATTTAGGATTTGTTTTGGGGCAAGTTTCTTTATAGTTTTATTTTTCATACAATAATTGATATCAAGCTTGGTTATAAATTTTTTTATTATTTAAAAAAAAATTATAATGGGATGATTTTTTATGATTAAATTTATTAGAACTTAGATGATCATAAAAATTTATGGGCTGACTTGTAAAAAAATACTTTATAATAAGCACAGCACTAGCTTGTCAAAAAAAATATTTTATCAAAAAAAATATTTTATCAACAAAAATATTTATAGAAAATTGCAACAACCTCAAATGTAAAATTTGTGAACTTTATGAAATGGTAGGGGTGTAAAAAAATAATTCAATAGAAAAAATTTGGATTTCAATTGACCAGTGGAATGGGAGGGAGAGGTTTGTGTTCAGAATTTTGACCCGCTTTTTTGTTTCAAATTCTTTTGTTTTTTTAGTATGATTTTTTATCAATTTATTTAAATTTATAGTTAACAAGTATTACATAATAATTACTTTTTTAATTCAAACATGTCATATGGATAAGAGTAAAAAAAAAAAAAGATTATTTCTATTTATTATGCCTGTAAATTTTATCTGAAGGGAGAGTAATTGTAGGAGATCTAGCAGTCAATTTGCTACATTTTCTTCTTTTATTTTCAGATTAAAGTTTCGTTTGGAAAGTTTTTTATCATTGTTTTTTTTTATTTTTTTTCAAGAAATTTTTATGCTAAAAAGTGATAGATAAAACAATTAAAAAATTATAAGATATTAATTTAAAAGATAAATATAAATAGAACAGCAACAGGCGATTGTGGGTTCGAGTCCCACCGGGCGTGTTTGCTATTGTCTTCTTGTCGACAGGAAAAGTACATTTTTTCCTGTTTCTTTTTTTCAAAAATGGAAAATTATAATTTATTTAAAGTTTACAATGTTTGATTACGGTTTGATTTTATTTTTATTTAAGATTTAATTGTAAATTTATTTATGGGATAGTAATTTTCTTTTGTTATATATATTTTTTATTTATAAACACAAAGTTATGCAAGTATGCTTGTTAAAATACTATTCTTTTTTGGTTTTTGAAATTCTCATATTCTAATGACCTTTTTTTTTACCGTTGAACCATGTTTAAAAAATGTGCTTGCATGCTAGCTTATATTGCTAATGTTTAAAAAAATTTCAGCCTGAGCTCTCACTACTCTAAAAAAAAAAGGCATGGTTGTCATGCTAACAATAAGAAATATCCTTGAAGGTAGAGGTATAATTACATTAATACACTCAATAAATAATTGATTATTTATTCATTTAAAATTCATTTATTTATATAGCTAAATAAACAAGAACACATTTTTTTAACTTGATAAATAAATGAACAAACTTGAATGTTGGGGAGTAACTCATTTATTCATCTTTGTATATATACTAGTTTATCATTTAACAAGTAATTTGATAAAATATTTATTTAAGTTTCATTTGAGACGACTTTCTTACTGATTTTTAAAACAACTTTTTATTTCAAATTTTTTAATTTTTTAAATAGAAAGATGCTTTAAAAAATAGTAAGAAAGCAGTCCCAAACGAAACCTTAATCATATACTAATAGCTTATTTGATGCATTGTTTCATATTATTATGGCTTCGTTTAACTACTTCTTAAAGCAACTTTTTAATAAAAAATTAAAAAATTTTAGCAAAAAAGTTACTTTAAGAAGCAATTAAAAAAACTATCTCAAATGAAGCCTATATCAACTCTATTATATTCTACACATTATACAAGTTATTTACAGTTTTTCAAGAAATAAACAAACCAAAAACAAAAAAAACAAAAAATTGCAAATAAAATTAAACCACAAGATTAAAAAAAAAAAAAGTAATGTGAAACCGCTGAAATATGTATTCTTTAATCTTTATACAATATGCACACGCTTGTAGCTGGCAAGGTTGTGAAAGGCGACTCCCGGAAGTGGCTTACAAACTGGAACTAGAATCATATAGTTTAAACAATATAAAGAAATCCTCTTTCAAAGTCTGCATATACGGCTTCAAGCCTTCAAGATTTCTGCTTCGAACCCAATGAGTTGTTTCTACAAAGAATTATAATCCATATAATGCACATTGTAATACACACAATTGAGATTCTTCTCAGAGAATATGATTCAGGCATTAGTAACACCAGCGGCGGAGAATCTAAGCTGAGTTTAGAGTTTGAAAGTCCTCTAGCAGATAGCCTATTTAGCACACAATTGTATACAGAGTAAAACCATAAGCAGCTGATAATGTTCTATTAAGAGTCCTTTAGATGGAATTCTCTAATACGCTACAAGTGATTCACAATAGGAGAGAACCGGATACCAACCAGAATGAGCCGCATCAGCGATACTAAGCCTCGGTACCGAGAGATACCGAGCCGCGGGCTTAGGTATCCGGACGGGTTCCGCTTCCGCACAGAATATTTTTTCCCACAATAGACACTTGTTGTGCTCAGCAATGGGATGGGGCAAGTGAGCTCTGCGTTATGATGAACGCTAAACCTAGTTATGTTGCTTGCCCTACCAGATGCGGTATTACATATATTACACTTGGTCTGCTCAGCTGTAAATGGAGTGAGTGCGCAGATATCCATATTTGAATATTTTCTTAGCTATCCCACCTAATTTTTGGACTTTTGGCTCATGTGATGGGAGGTTTGGTTATAGTTTTCTTCTTTTGTGTTGAGCTATTCTTCAAAAAATGTACCAATTTGGCTAGCTGATCCTTCTGGATCAATGTGTAATCAATTGCTTTTATCGATACAAAATTTGAACTACGGCAATCACTATTCTTTAAAGAAAATTATTGCATAAATACTTTCTGAAGGAGAATTTATAAGCTATATATCAACAGATCTCGCTGAATGTCAGAAATTTTCTAAAGTTATATAGCAAGTAATTATCACAAATCTTGAAGAAAGCAGCTTTAATAGGAACGCTGAAGGTGATGGAATGATACCAACGTTAATTTATATGTCTAATAACCGAAATGTTCTTTCAACTGTACATGATAAAAAGTTATAAACAGACCATTTCAAATATGCTAAAGCATTACCTTATTCAATTCTATGCTAAAGCATTACCTTGATTCTATGATATTGAGATAGATTTTCTATGCTTATGTTTCATTATTTTCTCCCATAACTTTATCATATGACAAATAAGGCTTTGTTTAGGGCAGCTTATGCTTTTATGTTTTTGCAGTCAAAATAATTTAAAACTATTTTATCAACCACAATTTCTATTTAGCTTCTCAAAAATAATTTTCAAAAGCAAGGAGACAATAGGAGAGTTCTCCCAAACAAAAGCCTAAGTTTGATCAGAAAATGGTTACCACAACATTGAACATCTCCAATGTTACTAAGTGAGGCTGAATCTCCAAATCTCACTAGGTATGCAATTTAGACCTCTTGCATCTTATAAATATTCTGTATTTTCAACTCAACTTAATTTTTCTGATAAAATTATACATTAATTACTATTATCTTCCAAAAATATTTATACTTTAAATTTCTCATATAATAATTATTCAAAGTATATTTTCATATTTTCTTGATCCTATCACTTTTTATTGAAAACATTTTTTGCATCATTTTAATGCATCTACCTTGATTACTGTCATTCTATGATGCACCGACACTTCTCCTCAAAGAGGCGTGCAGTGTCCGACACCATGTCCGACACGACACTCGCCCGACACTCCTCCGACACGTGTCGGACACATCGAAAACGTGTCCGATTAAAAAATATTAAATACAAATTGGACACACTTGTCGGACACACGTATCTTAAATATTTTATAATTTTTTTAAATAGAATTTCTTGTATTTGGTGGGATTTAAACTAAATTTCTTATTTCATATCCACAACACCAAATCAACGTCCGCACCTAATACCCAATCATCGAATATTCTCATTTTCATTTCTTTTTGGCAGTGAATGTATGTTCATCTCCTCTCTTGGTGACTGATAAACAGCATCGACGTCTGACTCTCGATGTCCTAATACTAATCATTTTAAGCACAAATTCTAGTTAAATGACTTATTATTTTCAAATTGTTTTTAAAATTATACTTATTTAATTTTTATATACTATTTTTTAAATATAAAAACTATAATACCGTGTCCGTGTCCTATATTTTCAATAACTAACGTGTCCCGTGTCGTGTCGTATCCGTGTTGTCGTGTCCGTGTCTGTGCATCATAGCTTCCATTAGATCTCTTCTCTCTTGCATAAGTTATTTATATCTCTTTTCTTATTCCTTAGTGCTAGTCTTTTATTGGAAGTTATCACTTTTCTTTGAAGCCTATCCTCTTGCAAGACTTCTATTTTCCTGCTCATTGCAAGTTAAAGCAATAGTTAGTTCTCACTCCTTGATTTCAAAGCAAATTTCCAACCTTAATAATCTTTTTATCTCCTCACTACACTTCCAACTCTCTATCCTTATATTATTTATTTCCATGTTCTCCTTAAACTTTTATAGTAACCTTTTGTTTTTTGAATATAACCATCTTATTCCAAACAAGGTTTAGGCAAACTGTATATTTCAATTTATTTCTCTCTTAATAACTATTATCATAAAAGATTAGCAACTTCTCCCATTCAAAATATATCATCTTATCCTTAAGAAACTATTCTTTATTGAGCATTTTTTTGCACTCCTACAACATACATTGATAACTACTACACTATTAGACTATTATGATCAAAATTTCACCTATAACTATTTTAAAATCACATGCTACCATGAAACCAAGGTTTATATCTTTTATCTCTATTATATTTCTCGTTCAACCCACCACAAATCTCTGATAGAACATCCTATTAGAACGTCCACCCTAAATCGCTCAAAATAATTATTTTTTTTTTCTTTCTTAGGTGCACATTATAATATTTTATCCATGTCATTGAAGAATTGATTTCTCAAACTATCTTCTAATCTAGTTTGAGAGTTACAAGTGAAAAAAAATAAAAACTAAAAGTAAATTACACCAATTTTAAGGATCTACAAATAAATTTATGTTCGGAAATAGGGCAATGTGGCTATATCATTCTCACTGCATATACAAAAAACCAAACTTGAATACTATTAAATTTCAGCTCGAGCATATTTAAAACTGTTAAACAAGCTTAATGGGAATTTAAAACTCAAGTAATGTTAAACAGGGCTATACCTAGTTATCTACCAGTTGACCCGTTTACAGCCCTAATATTTCTAAACACAATTACAGAAACGAGATCGGCCATAGATCCATCCTTTCTCACTAGGAAGGAATCAATTATAAATAATCAGTGTGTTGGCCATAAAATGACACAAAAAAGCAGATCAAGTCCCACCACATCTAGCGACTTGAATGAATGAAAAAACTACTGCATAGAAATTTACATTATAATAGACATGGGGAAAACATGAGAGCCCCCATTTTATAAAAAGAACTAGATGTGGAGGACAGACCTGATAGAGGAATTGGAGTTGTAGAAGCGGGAGAAACGATGGCGGTTTGGAGGTTTGGGCTTGACGGGTTTCTTGCGGAGGCCGAAGATTTCCTGCACCAACGGCACGTGAACCAGCACCGTCTTCCACGCCACAAACCAGCCTACAATGAAAAGAAATGAGATAATTAGGGCATAACGAGGCCGTCGAGAGAAGGAATAAGGAATCCGCTGCAAGACTGCGGTTAATCGATCGAGGAGAGGAGCTTTAAAGATTAGGCTGTACAGCCTGAAATCTCTACTTACTAAGGAGGATCAAGGAGAGGATGAAGAGGATCGCGAGAAGAGGTCGGATGAAGAAGATGCTGGCGTTTTCCCACCACCATCGCAATTCGTAGGGATACTCGAATCCCATCTCTGATCGGCCGTTGTCGAATTATGGTCGGGAGAGTAAAATTAAAAAGTTTTTATCAGTTCTATTTATAAAAATTGATAAAAAAGATCAAAAATTCAAAATGATTCTCTCTTTATGAAGAATTAAAATATTCTCTAGGAAATTGATGGTTGAAAATGATCAAACTATTTTGTTCTTTCATAAAAAATTAATAGATCTAAAACGGAATATATGGAGTGTAATTTTAGCTGTAATAGTCCTAGTGAGGGGATTTTAATATTTACTCTTCTACCACCTAAAAGCTCTATCCCTCCTCAAATATAACACTCTGTTTCTCTCCCGTCAGAACCAACCCCAGAAAGTTGTATTTCGCGCAGGAATTTCTTCTCCGATGATACGGCGGTGGCGAGAGGGGGTGCTAGCCTTCGATGATGTGGCGACTGCCGCTCAGCCTTCTCGGGATGTTAGGCATCGGCCTCCTCCAAATCAACGGCCGCTACTTGATAGCATCAAAGCCATACGTCCCCAAAATCCGGGTCCCGTCCACCATGAATCTGCGCATGCATTTCTCAAAGTTCTCATATCAAAGGTAGCATCTAATTAAAAGCGCTAGTTTTTGTTGGCTTAGATAATTTGTTGGGGATTCCAGATAACAGAGTAGGTGTGGAAATCCTTGGTGGGATCGAACCAGAGCTTGAACTGCATCTCCCTATTGTCCTTCCCCTGTGTGAACACGTTGGTGTGCAATTTGTAAGGGTCGCCGCTAAGGTTCCCAAGGAACTTAAAATCGATCTCATCATGTGTTGGCCCCTGAGACGATAACTGCGCGTAGACGAAGCAGTAGACACCATCAGTTCAATGAATTTCGAGCTCTTAATGGAGCTAACAGCATGAGAATGTTACTTACATAGTAGGCGGTGACGGTGCCGGCAGAATTGCCGGGGACGAGCTTGAGCTACATGTCAATCTTGCCGAAGAGATACTCACTCTTGGACTGGAAGCCGAAACCTGAAGCATTGTCGAGAGAAAGAGTCAAAAGCTGCCCGTTATTGAGTATCTTTGCGCGACCATCGCCCCAAGTAATGTCGAAGTCATTGTTGAAGCTTCCTGCGACGGCGAGCGTAGCAACAAGCAAAGCGCACGCAAATATAGGAAGCAGCAGCGAATTGGCCATTGAAGAGCAAGTCATCATGAAGCATCAATTAGAAGGCGGATGAAGTAGATTTGGAGACTGATGCCTAACAGGAGGCCGATGCCTAACGTCCCGAGAAGGCTGAGCGACAGTTGCCACATCATCAAAGGCTAGCACCCCCTCTCACCACCGCCGCATCATCGGAGAAGATATTCCTGCGCAAAATACAGCTTTCGGGGGTTGGTTCTGACAGGAGAGAAACGGTGTGGTATATTTGAGGAGGGATAGAGCTTTTAGGTGGTAGAAGAGTAAATATTAAAGTTTAGGTGTTAGATAAGTAAATAGAGAGGTTTTAAGTGTTACGTATGTAAAAATCCCAAAAAATATTCATTCTCTTTATGAAGAATTAAAATATTCTCTAATTATATTAAAAGAAGATTTTGATCTCATAAGTCTTTAAAAAATAGTCTATAAGAATCAAAATATTCTATGAAGTTGATGGAACAAAATGATATTTTATTATAGTTTATAACTATTTTGATCTTTCATAAAAAGTCATGGATCATTTTGATTCTTTTCTCTAAAAAATTTTAAGAACGATAAGCTTTACAACAACAACATCAAACCTTCCTCACATTACATGGGGTCGGCTAAATGAAATTTTTGCTTTCATTATGTCACGTTAAGAATCAAATTCTTATTTAAATTTAATAAAAATGCAGTTTCTAATATTTTTTAATTAATTTTTTTGTCTACCTCTACTTTATTAACATTTTCATTGTCACATCCTAAGTTCTAGATGAGAAAAATTGAGGGTTGTGTTACCTGGTCAACAGTCAGCATAAAATTCATCGAATAATCATTACGACGATGAGTAAGGGTGGAACCAGCCTCTCTTTTAAGCGTGGACAAAATAAAGTTGTGAATTGTAAATCTTATATATGTAATAGAAAAGTTTTTTTTTTTTAATTTGGACAATTGCATTTATTGAAGGTGGGCAAAATAATTAAAATGTATATTCTTCTAAGAAAAAAAATATATTTTTGAGTGAGCAATTGCCCAACCTGAGCACTTCCTAGTTCCACCCCCTAGATGAGCTTTGATGTCTTTTAAATTTATATTGAGATTACTATTAGTTCTAATAATATTTGATTGCAATAATTTTCATATTATACATATACATATACTAAATTATATGTACATTATTTTAAGAGAAGCACCATATCTTGCCTTCTTAAAACCCTCAATACGCCTCGACTATAAGATGAAGGTGAGGATGTTAGGATGATTGCTATCACGACAAGACATACATGTTCGAACAACAATCGGAATCATGACAAGGCGCTCATGATCGAGCGAAACAAAAGTAATGTGCACGACTAGGAAGTAAACTTAATCGGAAAGTTCAAGTTTAAATTGTCAAGTATGCGGGTACCATGGAGATTGAATCGAAGACTCGAAGATGATCAAGATGTGTTGAAAATGGTTGAGCCCAAGCATGACGAAATCGAGGTCAGCAAATGGATCCACGGAATCCAAGTTGCCGCTTTCAAGTTGAAGCGTGCAAGAAAATGAAAAACTATGCTTAGATAAGGAACAGAGAGAATCAATGCATCCCGTCTAATCGATCGCGCTGGCAAACTTATAAGATTCCAATTTTTGAAATAGTAAAGCTAGAAATCCTAAATTATGAAATTTAATGAATTTTTTATATTTAAAATTCGATGAGTATATTATATTTATATGATTTATATAAAATTAAATATTTTGAGAGCTCAAATTCAGAAATTCTTGAAGGAAATAACTCCGCTCAAAATTTTCATGATAAAGCATGAGATAAGTAAATTATAATAATTATTTAATAATTAATAAATGCATTAATAATTATTGTTGTATAAGCTAAATAAGATCAATAATATTTTATTATTATTAACTATGATGATAAAACATTGAGTGGAAGAAATGATAAATACAAATTAACAATTTAAAAATAATTAGAAATCAATTTGGACTTTCATTAAGAAAGTTGTGGCTTTTAACTAAGATCGCTAGTATTTATTTGTTGTAATTATTAAATCTAAACATGGATAATTAATTAACTAATAATTGGTCAGATTAATTAATATTTAGCCATTTACATTGTTTAATAAGGGATTAGTTAGTAATTCAGTGTAGGTTTTCTAAAATGATGATTGTTGTTGTCAGAGTTGCATTGCATGCCTTACAAACAAATGTTGAAATACACAGCTCACCTTAGTCTGTTGGTTGAGAGCTTAGGCTTCCAATTAAGAGGTCTTGGGTTCGAGTCTCTGTGTATGCGTTGTGTGTGTGAGTTTGCCTTAAATGACCTAAATGTCCAAAAAAAAAACAAATGTTGAAATATAAGAGATGACCGTTGCACGTGGCATATAGTTAAGAATATTATTAAAGTTATAAATATGATGAACATATCGCATATATAGACAAAGTCATTGAAATCAAAGTATGTTATATTTTAGAAGAACTCTAGAGCTCTATATAATGTTAGAGCATAGTTATTTTATTATCATTGGCTAACATCCATCGCCCGACTATAATCACATCCAAATGTCATCACCTTATTGCCATTATTTGAACTATATAAATTAACTACTATCATCTGACTACTTGATTATTGTCTGTAGAACATCGTTGTTTGATTGTCATTTATCTCCCGACTGTTATCATCTAACTATCATTGCCCAGCTTACATTGTCAGACAATGGTCCTCCAACCACCATCACATAACTACGATTCTTTGACCATAGTCACTTGACTAATATCCTTCAACCATTGCCAAGCAACAACGATCATCTGACCATTATCGTCCGCCTACGATCGATCCTTTGACCTCTATTGTCTATCTACCTTCCTCATATCACTGTCTCTTGGTTACAATCTTCTGACCCATAATCTTTTGATAATGATCGCCAAGCTACACCGACGCCTATTTACTTCATCACTTAGCATCACTAGTAATGTCAACCCACACCATTGTTTTATAAGATCAATGTATGCTACCCATACAACCTTTGACTCTCTACATTAGCACTCGGATTTATGCTAGATTTCTTGATCTGTGGCCTTCCCTTCTCAAAGGATTATGGTTAAAGAAACAAGCAAATGATCTCTTAAAAGTAGATTCCATGCCATAGGACTCTATACATTGCTAGTTTACTATATTGAATCAATGCCTTCATTTGAGAAAGGACATCATTTATAGCCGATGATAAACAGTAGCAAAATCATTTTAACTAGGCAAAGCCCATGATTTTTCTATTTTCTGAGTTTTTATGTAAAAACTTTGGTCTCTTGTAATTTTTACATTCCTCTTTTATTTGTGTGTATGCTAAATCTTCATATAAACACTATGACAACAAACTCACTCTAATAGATTAATTTTCTATTATCAATAATTAATTCATTTTTGCCAAATTAGATAAAAAATTTATAAACAAAATTGAGTAAGATTTCAAATTTTAGAAAAAAAAAAATTTTTTTGATCAAATTTTTTGCTAAGTCATTAAATTTATTTTAAAATCAGTACGGTACATACTTTGATTATTTCTTTTATATATTATACTAATGAATTGTTTAATCGTCATAAAAAAAATATAATGAACAAATTTGAAGAAAAAATTAGTTCAATTAACGACCAACTCTCATAAAAAGGACTAAATTCTTAAATTGAATATCTTTTTAAAATTTTGGAGACTCAACATGCAATCGACCAAATTCTTATTTATATGCTTAATGTCAAAATATTTAAAGCACATTAATAATAATTTTTAAATCACAATTAAAAATCACTAACATTATGTTATCAATAATAAAAAATATTTTTATGTATTTTTTGCTTTCTTTTAAATATAAAAATATTATATTATTATATAAATAAATATAGAATTTCAGTTACTAGATATGTAGTTAATTAAAAGGTTAGATCTGGTTTTAAAATTTTGCCCTGGGAAATATGAATGGCCGATGGGAGTTAGCGTTAGGCATTTAAAAAAAGGAACCGGAAACAGATAATGCGAATATAACAATGAGTGTGTGACAGTTCATGAGAATAGTACTCGATGCGCTCGACGATTCCTCCTTTCTCCCCGTGAACCTGTCATCTTTTCTTCCACTATTTCCTCATTTTCTTCCTTTCTTTTAATTCCCGGCTGTCAGCCGCTTAAGAAGAGAGAGACTCCTGCCATCTCGAAGAGGTACTTTTCTGGCAGAAAGTTGCTAGATTTCTTCCAAAGCTATGAACTTTGAGAAGAAAGTAAGGGAAGGAGAGAGTGGCAGCGAAGCAGCCTTTGGTTGTCGGAGGAGGGTGATGGCGGTTGTTGACGGCGGAGCTCCGGCGAAGCAAGCCATGATGTGGGCTCTTACCCACGTATCCAACAAGGGAGACATCCTCACTCTCCTCCGCGTTATTCCACACTCTGATCACTCTCCCTCTTCTTCTTCCTCCTCCTCTAAGAAAGAGGAACGGGCTCGCCTTCTTGTCAGCTCTCTTGCCTCCCTCTGTAAAGCCTGCCGCCCTGAGGTAATATTAGAAAGTATTAATTTACAATTATCCCCTTAATTAAGTTAGCAGAAAACAAATGATTTTGTTTTTCAATGTTTGCAACACATTATTCCCTTAAAATTAAACTGAAATTTGTTTCTCTGTTTAATCTTTTTCTGATGCTAACGTCCTGACTAAATATATCAGGTGGAAGTAGAAGCTCTAGTGATCCGAGGACACAAGCTCGCTACTGTACTCAGTCAAGTCAAGAAGTTGGAGATCTCTGTTCTTGTTTTAAGCCAAACAAAGCCTTCACTTCTGTCATGGTAAGAACAAAGAGATATAAAATGAGAAATGTATCATTTTGAGTAGATTTGAAAATGTTCTCTGTCCTTAATGCAGCCTCATGATGAGCAGAAAGGAAAATTTTGTGGAACAGTGCATTGAGAAGGCAGAGTGCTTGGCCATGGCTGTGAGTAAGCAGAGCAATGGGATTGGGGGTTACTTGGTGAGCACCAGATGTCAGAGAAACTTCTGGCTTTTGGCTTGAGATATTTCGCTTCACAAGATAAAAACACTGTGCAAAGTAAAAACCAGCAGCTTTTCTTACCATTACCAAGAAGTTTTAATGTCGATAAAAGATGTTTATTATTATTATTAACAAGTTACTGCGTGTTTTTTTGTTGATCACAGCATTGATAAATCTCTCGTTAATGTGTCAAATTTTCAGGAAATTATTCGATGCGGACATAAGATCTAGAGATGCATTCGGATACTGCGTATTTTATGCTTAAGCTCTGCGTATTTACTGAGTATATACTACATATTGCAGTAAATAAGCATCAAATATTTAGTTGTGAGTATTTGTTATTTATTTGCTGTGTATTTACAAATACGCAGAGTGTAAGCAGAACGTACGCAAAGTGCAAGTAGAGCGTAGGCAAAGCGTACGCAGTGCATCCAGTAATCCGGACGCATCTCTAGATCCGATGCCCGCTCACCTAATAATTTCCCCAAACTTTATGTCTCTGTTATGTTGCTTGGTTTGTGCTGCATGCAGGATCTGCAGTTTTATAGCTAAGGTCCCATATCTTCATGTTTTTTTTTTTTTTAAATGATAATTTTATCTGCTCAATGTCCAAAAAAAAAAGTATTTTAAGATAGTAGAATACAAGAATTGAATTTTTGGTGTTTCGTTAACTTAATTTTTTTTAAGTAAAGATATATTTTAAATCTTGATGCTAAGTGTACGCAATTCATATTTGAACCCAATGGCATCATATGTTTTATAAATATTAGGAGGATTTATATACATATTATTAAATTGTTCTGCATTTATATAACTAATACTTAAATCTCTATATTAATTTATATAACATAAGAAGTGCCACTAATATTAACACTCTAATCTATACTATTTGTGGGTCATATGTCATTTGTTTGTAGTTCCATGCTTGTCGTATGTTAGTCATCAACCTAATGTATGTTGCCCAACGCGCATCTTTGTTAGCCAATCGTCGTCCTCCAATCAACCTTTTTTTGAAAAGAATGCCAGTTGCCCGTCTTTTGTCATTCATCCACCTAATACTCGTCATTAATTTGTAGGTTTTCACCATTTGTTAGTTGCATGTGATCATCCAATGTCTACTATGGCCTTGTGCTCACCTTACCTCAATTGCTCATGACCTATTGCCCATTGATCCTCACTCAATCATTAAATGGCCACCATATGAGGGTCTTTCAACGTCCATTAATTTCTCACCATTGGTAGAACCACCCTTCTTTAATCGTCTATCCTCTTTAATTATTTTTCATCCTTTAGCATTCACCAATACCCATTATCATTGTTTGACATCAATTATTGTTCAACACCTACTATCCCTAATGCTTATCATGACTTAGGCTTCGTTTGGGACGACATTTTTATTGCTTTCTAAAACGGAGTTTTAGTACAAAAATAAAAAAATTTGTATTAAAACTCCGTTTTAGAAAGCAGTAAAAAAGCCGTCCCAAACGATGCCTTAATGTTTGTTATTGTCTAATAGATGTCATTTGTCATCACTCAACATTTATCATTGTTTAGTGTCCCTTGTTGCCTGACACCAGGATTGTGTTCCTTACAGTTGTTGGATGACCCATAGCCCCTTATGTTAAGCATTCAGTATCGACCGATTCTTCTTTACAACCCCTTTCTTTTTAAATCATTACTTTCATGATCAGTTATGGCACTACAACAGCTCTAGTCATCTATCAAGTCTATGTCATTTATTAAATATGGTTACTTGTTGATTTTAGGTCACATATGCACCTTATAATTAATCAATGACTTGGAAGTTATGTGCAACTAAATTTGGCAAGTCATTGTATTTAGTTTGTATACTCTAAGAGATCTATACATTCTCAGGGTCATATGTACAACGAATCCAAGCCGCCAAATCTCTCCTTCACTTAAGATAATAACTATTCTAACTATCTCTAAATTATCCATAGACTTTAAGTCAGTTATCCATAAACTTGAGGCATGTAATATGTATTTTTATTAAAAATGAATATATTTCTTTTTTTTAGGGGTTATTTATTTGAAGGACAGAGTAGAACGAGGTTTCGTTTAGGATGATTTTTTTAATACTTTCTAATTAAAGTATTTTTTAGTACAAAAAAAAATTAAAATTAAAATTTTTGTATTAGAAAACTACTCAAAAAATAGTAAAAAAGATATCTCAAATAAAACCTCAGTATGGAGGTTTTGAAATTTTAAGAGTTAGGTTATAAGTAAAAATAAGTACAAATTTAAATTTGAAAGAACTTTGAATGTATCCATTAGCCTTTTTTTAGCTTGTTTGGATAAATATTTCCCTTTCAATTAATTTTGAGCTTCTCCATAATATTTTGAACTAGAGAAATTATTGTATTTATGCAAAAAAAAAAAAAAAAATCTATCAAGTATGATTTTTGGTAGAATGAAATGTTGATAGTGTAAAATGAAGTATTGAAAATATCTAAAAAATGCTCTCACCCGTTAATAAGTTACTCCAGACTTTGAATTTATTCTCTATAATGAATTTTTGGCTTGTGATGATGCTTTCATTATAGAGACATGTCATTTGCATTTGCTTTATTACTATATTTTGGGCATAATTAAGGATTATGGAGATTATTTTATTTGGATTTGACGTATTCTCCTAGATGTACAATGAAGTCTCCTCATATTCCGGCTTTTGGTCTATACGAATTATAACTCATTATTGCGGCTGTCATTTCCAATTATAGTCATCTTTTGGAGATCCTCTTTATTTTATTTTATATTATTCAAGGATATGAGGTGATGTGGTGCATGAGAATTGGCTGCAGGACATAGCATCCGCAGATAATAATTTTCCTTATTTTATAGCTTTGTTGTCGTATTCATTTGATTCTTTTATTGGACTCCCTTTCATATAGGGTTGCAACAGAGAAGCTGCTCGGGCTCGACGAGGGAGCTAACGAGCCCATGAGTCGAGTTCAAACAGGATTTTGAGCTTTATAGACTTATCGAGCTCAAGTTTCGAACATCCCTTTGCTCGACTCGAGTACTCATCGAGCGGCTCACGGATCTCGGACTCTGAGGAGGAACGACGGAACGAAGACTCAACACGGGACACAGGATCGAAGTTCGGACTCGACGGTAGAACAGCGGAACGGAATCGCAGGCGGACAGAAGACGATAAGACAGATGCGAGATCGGAGCTCGAACTCAACGATCGAGCAGCTTGCCTAGTTGTTTTTCCTAGCAAGTCTAGCTCAAGCTCGAGTCGAGTTTGTGCTCCGTATTTGGCAGTCAAACTAGGCTTGAACGTTTCTTGACTCGACCTCAACTCAACTCGTTTGCATCCCTACATCCATATAAAAATTTATTGGTGGCTTCTTCAAATAAAAAAAAAAAAGCAAACCAATAATTTGAGTCAGAGTACCTTTTTTAAGTTTTTTTTTTTTTTTTGAAGAAATTTAATTCTTTGATATTAAATATATATATATATATATATATATATATATCATAATAGATAATAAATTTTATCTATAAACAAATCAATAAAATATTACACATTAAAAGTAAATGAAAATTTTGTCGAATTAATAATAATCCAAAAAATGCCTAAAAAATAAGTTGAAAAAGAAAACTAATATAGCTATGGTATATAATCAAAAAATTATCTTAACTGGACACGAATCTCGAAGCAAAATCAAGATTTGAAGCTTCAAAGATTAAATCAGAGACCATCTGAACTCCAATTTCAGCAAACTTATAGTCGAATTGAACATCTCAGAAATACGAACTCAACGACACCAAATTCGACCCAATCCAAGCTTAAATGGGTCCAAATCGAAGACTCAAAGCATCTTTGGAAGGTTCAAACCATAATTTGGATTACCAAATGGTTTCCAAACTTGACATGCTTATAGTCGAATCGAGCGACTTGATGAGACAAATCCAATGATCCCAAGATTGACAAATTCTGATATCATTAAGACATTCAAATGCTCAACGAACGGTCAACGATCAAGGAATTCAACATCGGTCGTCCAGTCAAACTACTCTCAATTTACCCTTGATCTTCCTCCTATTTATTGGTCATGCAACTCTTAGAAAACTATAATTAGACCCATCATTTTTCATAGACGGGACATCCAAAAGGGGGAAAAATGAGGCTCAAATAAGAAGAGAAGTAAGAAAATGAAGAGAAGCAAGCGACTCCTCCTCGATCACCGTCAGAGTTCCACCCGGCAGCCGACCGACGTTGGAGTTCTGCTCGATCGCCAGCTAACGTCGAAATTAAGCAAAAAAGCAAGAAGAAAAAAAGAGACTCATCCTCAACCACCGTCGAACTTTGACCCAACAGCGATCGACGCCATATTTCTACCCAACGCTAGACTTCCACCCGTCGTTGTATTTCTACCTGACGCCGGACTTATGCCCATCATTAGACTTTTGCTTGTCCCCGGACTTTTTCCTGTTGCCGGACTTCTGCTTGACAGCCAACTGATGGCAATTTTTCTGCCCAGGCACATACTAACACTAGACTTTTGCACAACCTCCAATTGATGTCGGACCTCCGTCATCCTCCAACTAAGGTCTGTCCGACTATGGTCGTCTACGATCATTCCTTCCTCCATCGCTAGATAACGATCCTTCTGACCTCCGTTGCCCGCCGACTACGATCCTTTCTATCTCTGCGCAACGGTCTTTCTGACCTCCATCACCCACCGACTATGGTCCTTCCAACCAAACAAACACGTCAACAGTAATTATCTGTATTCCCACCATGTTATGTACTTCATATGATGTACATCAAGCCAAGACCTCCCCCCCCCCAAGGAAGGTTCTCATTTGTAATCGACTGCAAATAATAATGAATTTATTCAAGCTGGGGTTGGCCCCGTGATTTTTTCTCTTTTCAAGATTTTCCATGTAAAAATCTTGATGTCTCTTATAAATGATGCACCCTCTCTTTTTATCTGATTGCATGCTGGATCTTCGTACAAAACTAAGACATTAAACTTTATATTTCTCTACCGCCACAAATATTCCATGATGCAACAAGCTCATATTGGTCTGTTTGTTCAAATTTTTTATTATCAACCAAGATATTTGTGTGAGTGTTTGCCTAAGTTCGCCTAAATATAAAAGATAATAATAATAATTCGGGTTTGATATATGAGGTGGTACCGTAACAATATGACGTTACACTTGAATCAAATACTAAGCCAGGCATAGCTATCTTGGTCTATCAATTAAGATGGTTTAAATTCGAATCTCAAATATGTGATGTATAAATAAAATTGTTTTAATTGATGTAAATGTTCAAAAATAAATGAATAAATAAATGGGCCCGCATTGCCAAATCATTAGGCGTGCCCCCAATTCTTGTCATCCGCATCACTCGTCTCCACGTTAACAGTGTGGACCCGTGTCTCCGTCGTGTCAGCAATACGTCCAAGTGATCCGCCGTCCGATTTTCATCTGACGGTAGTTGTATAAGTACTTTCAACTTGTTGGCTCCGCAACTTTCTGGAATTACCGGTCACGACAGGTGGTGTTTAGTAGCTCCTAGCTGCAAAACAAAGCAATTAACGAATGAGTGTCCAACACGTCATCCCTATCCACATCACACGAAGCCTCCACTCGCAACAGGCAATAATCGGTTCTTACATGCCACGTGTCAAGAAACACGTGATATGCCTGTTAGTGCTATAATTTTTTTAAGATATTAGAAGACACTACTTTTTTTTTTGGAAATTTGGGGCAAAAGCCCATAAATTACTATAAGAAGATTGCAAGTAAAAAAAGAAATTCCAACATAAGAACAACAAAACTCTTATGAAGGAAAAAGTCCAAAAAACCCCAACTATACCACCCATAATTTTACATCAAAAAAACTATAAGATCCAAAATGGTAGTAAGTAAGGAGATCCAAAAAGACTCCCGCCAGATGAAAAGATGACCCTGATCCTCGGCACGGGCACATAGAAATCCAAAACCTGCACAGAGAAAAACAGAAACTGCTCCCGGGCGAAGCAGGCTGCACTCATTAGAGGATATAATCTCCTAAGTTTTTACTACTCTTTATCATTAGAGGTTCTTACAAAATGCATCACTATGGGGAGGATTTCTTTCACTCACCACATACTCTACATTATGCTGATAATTTATCTTGAAAAATCATGAAAATTTGCAAAAAAAGATTTTATCTTCTTGATATCCATGTTACGACCAATTATTGATGGCTTGAGCATAAAATATAATAATAAAAAATTAAGGATTTCTGAGAAAATTAAATGCAAATTCATACACATATCACATAATAATAAATTTTTAGAGGAAAAAATATTGAGGCCTAGTTTGGGACGGCTTTCTCACTACTTCTTAAAGCAACTTTCTTATACAAAAAATTAATTTTTGTATTAAAAAATTGCTTTAAGAAGCAGTAAAAAAGCCATCTCAAACGAAACTTAATAATGACATTTTGGTGGCACATTTGCATTAAATGTTGTTATTCGACTTAAAAGCAAGTGTTGGTCACTTAAAGTTGAAATACCAATTTGTTTTAAATTTCCTTTTTTTTTTGGAAAAATTAAATGTCCATAATTATATATTAGTTAAAATTCAAATTATGATAAAATAAGATATATCTTGTTGCGTGCTAGAATATACGCGGCAGCAGAGTTGGAAAATATTCGTCTTAGCGTTGCACGAGTATTCCACTCACAAACAGAAAAAGAGAAATGAACAATAGAGTTTTTCGAGGAAAATCCAAAAATAGAAAAAACCACGGGGCCTCGCCCAGTTGTAAAGTTCCACTAATGTTTGTATGAAGTACAAAAGTTGATCCGTCTTACAAATCAAGACGATCAATTTACAATCAACTTCTCACAAAGTTACAAAGTTATGCAAATTCCCGGCGTTTCCCGAAAATCCAGCAGAGTTCCGGCGTCTTCAGGCCGCAGGAAGAGCTCCGGCGGTGGTTGAGGAGGAGCTTCTTCCTTCTCCTCCTTCTCTTCTCCTTCTCTCTCTTCACTTGAGTCCCCTTTGTGTAGAATGAGGGCTCTATTTATAGTTTTTCTGGAGTGGCATAGCCCGTAAATAGGCGTGAGATCATCAAGGGCGAATTGGGAGTGGTTTGAATGAACGGCCGATATTTAATCCTACAATCGTGCACCGTTCGTTGGACATTTGAAGGTCTTAATGATGTCGGAATTGATGTTGGACTCGTTAGATTCGTCTCGTCGAGCCGCTCGATTCGAGAATAATCTCGTTAAAATCGGAGACCGTTTGGTAACTCAAATTGCGGTTTGAATCTTCCAACAGCGCTTCGGGTCCTTGATTCGGACTCATTTGGGCTCGGATTGGGTCTAATTTGGTGTCGTTGGATTCGTATTTCCGAGACGCTCAGTTTGACTGTAAGCTCGCTGAAATCGGCGTTCATATGATCTCGAATTTAATTTTTGAAGTTTCCGAACTGATTTTGCCTCGAGATCCGTGCCCAATCAAGATAATTTCATGATGATGTATCATATCTAAAATACAATAGCTCGAAAATAATGAAAGAGTAGACAAACATATTTAATGCTCACAATGGTGGTAAATATAAATGTTAGAAATAAAAAAAAAAAAAAAAAAAAAAAAAAAAAAAAAAAAAAACATTTTGTCACTTAATTGCATATACAATATTTAAATTTTATATATTTATAAAATTAACATCCAATCGTATTCATTTGTAATAATATAATTTAAAGTTAGGAAAGCATTACATACTTGTTACTCAAATGTTTCATTTTCAATAAACTCTCAACAACCTGGTCATAATATGTGCAAAAACATGAATTTATTAATTTATTTTTTAAGCAAAAAAATTAGAATGTGTAAATAAAATAAATTTGAGAGGTACTAAGAAAATAATACATGTATAAACACTACAAAACCTAGAAAGAGATAAAGAGAAAAAAATTAAAAACTTAATTATTGTTTGGATTTCATAAACAGTGCTATCTATATTCAGTAAAATTCAATAATATAAAGAAGTAAAATTATTTAAAATGTTTACAACTTTTTTTGAGAATATTTAGGTCAATTAAGTCAAACACATATGTACACATCACATATCTAAGATTTAAATTCAAGACCTTCTGATTAATAGTCAAAACTTCTAACCAACAAAATAAGATGATCTTTTTTTTTTGGAACGTGATATCCCCCGCTGCCATCCCTGAAAGGGGGCTTGATGTCATGACTAATCCTCAGCTAACCTAAAAGATGTGCTCGCCCCAAAAACCTCTTGGCCCACACTAGATTGAACCTCACTAGCTTAAGAGTCGCTGCCGCTTGAGAGGAATCAAGCACAAATTAGCGATTCCCAACTATACTCGCCCACCAACCAAACTAAACAAAAATGGGTGAATAAGATGATCTTCATAAAATATTTACATCCAAATCTACATTCGAAGTCCCAAGCCAACTTTTTTTTTTGCAGTGCTTCCTCTCCCGCGACATCCAACATTTGTTCATGTAAAATTCAGATAATGGGACCCTATCGTGCAAAAATTCCCGAGCATCTCCGGGCACAAATAGCTCACTTAGAACCCCTAATCTCTTGTCCTCTTTTAAGAGAATATAGAAGTGGGAAATACAAGGAAATAGGAACATAAAGAGAAATGGACTTCAGCTTGGTCTCCTACATCCCCTGTCCGGCGTCGGAGGAGCTCACCGGTGGAATATACCGCGAATGCCTGAAGAACCACGCCGCCGCCATGGGCGGTCAAGCCTTCGACGGCTGCGGAGAGTTCATGCCTGGATTCAAAGCCGAAACACTCAAGTGCGCGGTCTGTGGCTGCCACCGCAATTTCCACCGGCGAGAAATCTCTCCGGGCCATTCTTCTTTTGTAATCCATTCTCCGGCGCCAGTCGCCTTCTTCCCCCCTCCTGATCCCCCATTCCACACCTTTTTACCGCCGGAATCACCGGTGAGAAGGGAATCAGAGACGCCGCCGAGAAGACAAGAGGGTTTCATTCGAAAGCGATATCGCACCAAGTTCACGACAGAGCAGAAGGAGAAGATGCGGATCTTCGCGGAGAAGCTCGGATGGCGGATCCAGAAGCACGACTACGAGGCTCTCGAGAAGTTTTGTATCCAGATCGGCGTCAAGCGCCATGTTCTCAAGGTTTGGATGCACAATCACAAGAATAATTTCTCATCTCCTTCCGGCGGCGAACGCGACGCCAACTCGCCGCCGCCGCCGTTCATCCGGGTCTGATCCGAATCCGGTGATTCCCGGCGATTCTGCATAATTCGCTTTCACGGCTATATCGTTATTTCGTTAATGAAGCTAGTTAGTAAGATTCTGATACGGAGACTTCCGGTTTAGACCGATGTTTTCTGGGCCGGCATTTGGATGAATCCCGCCGGTTTAGGTCCGGTTTAATGTTAATATTTGTTTTTTCCTAGAAATGTATTAATTATTCTCTGAATTGGAGCAGATCATGATGCTGTGTAGGTTTGTGATTATAATAATTTATCAACGATGAAATTATTTCTAATAATTAAATATAAATATTATTTAATGAGATTTATAGGGATTTGTGGGGGCGTAGGCCGATAGCGACGAGGGGGGGATTGCATATTTATGGCTGCACCCCCGCAGCTGGACCGCCATACTCGGAAACGGGAAACGGGAAACGGGAACGAAGTGTTACAGGAATATTCGTTAGTGTTATATATGATATAATAAATTTATGTTATATTAATTTTAATATAAATTAAAAAATTTTAAAGTCTATTATGAATTAGTTTATATTAGAATATTGTAAAAAATGTTTTTATATAAATTAATTGCAATATACGAAGAATCAATTAAAATTTATATTATATTTATTTTCTAAATTTTTTTTTCCAAAGAAAGATAAAAGACTTTTGCGGAAACTTTATTGTGGGGACTGCGGAGTGTAATAATTGTGCCAATTGAAGGGAGCATCTCGGTTCCCTGGAGGACAAGATCTTCTATGCACTATTGGTGCATAGGAATAACGTTGGTTGGTGTTTTATAGTCGTTGGATTTGCTTTAATATTGGCGTGCACATGGAAAAGGATTGGACTCATAATTTCTAACTTCTGTCGAATATAAATTCAAAAGCCAATCTTAGAGCTAGCTATAACTAGCTTTGGTTTTGCGAAGAGAATCCGAATCCAAATTGTTCTGGTATTCGTCATGAAAGATTAAAATTATTTTTAATTATATTAAATGATTATTTTGATCCTTCAAAATTAAAAGATGAAAAATCAAAATGATCATTTAATAGTATTAAAGATTATTTTGATATTTCATAACGAGTTAATATATCATTTTAATTTGTTTCTCTTTAATTTTAGTTTTATAGACGGTTGGTGAAATAAATGAAATTTTAAGAGAATATAGAGGATTAGAATTAAGGTGGAGTCTTAAGAGGACAAAATGTTTAGAATTAAAGGGTAGACAAGTTATAATTTTTTTTAAAATATACATATAAATTATTCTGATATTCTTCCTCGTATAATAGCTTTATTTTAGAGCACAATGCTATTTAATTTACAAATGATTTGGTGTAATATGCTTCTAAGTTGGTGCATATTATTTATATTTTTAACATATTTTATTGCAAATGATATGAATTTCTTATACAAATTATCCAAAATTTCAATGTATTTACAAGTTTTTCATTGTGTTTGGTTTATCATGATATCTTAAAATCCTTTTCTATATTCCCAAATCAAGCTTAAATCATGGAGAAAGAGAAGTGAGAGAAAGAGAGGGGCTATAGAGAGAAAGCTAAACAGTTAATCAACTATAGATATGAAACTATTTTACTACTTTATTTTTTTTAGTAATTTTAGTGTCTTGTTTGGTATCTCAAAATATATTATTTGATAATGATTCTCTATAATTTTTTTTATTAGATTTTTATCCATGAATTTATAATATACTTCTACATGTGTCTTCAAACATGTTGGGATTCTTGGGAGGAAGAAAAAGCTCCTCGACCTTCTTGGAAGAGAGAGAGAGAGAGGCAGGGAGGAGAGCACTTCAATTTTTTTTATTCCTTTCAATCAGGGGTATCTATTACAACTACATATATGCTTATATATAGAAAAAGACATTGATATGATGTCTTGAAGAACGACTAATTTAAAATTGGACCAATTCTAGCAATATCAACTTTGATCTAGAGTTTACAAACAACGAAAAAGAAATTTAACAATCTCCACCTACATCACATGAACCCAAGCCTACTGGGATTCGACCACCTCGTTAGGCTACTTCCGTGCTTTATGACCTGATCACCAGCAACCGTGACCAAGATCCTGCCTTGTACGGAATCCACCATCCAGCCCTGCTTCTGCTTCTGTGGCCAATTGCACTCCAAAGCCTGTCTTCCCCTCCCGCACGCAAATCCAATCCATGCTCGTGAGCTCGCTCCAGACTTTCGCATCGAGAGTACAGTGTGATGTGTGTCCCATGGAACCCAGTCCTGATACCTAGCCTTCGACCTCACGGATGTGGTTTGATCCCTCACCTTGCGCTCCTCCAAACTGCGCCCCTTACATTCCCATGCAACCTGAGCTCTGTGCCCTTCCCGTGCGTCGCCCGCGGCAACCAATGCTAACCCTTTCGCTACACCAACGCGAGACACCATCATGGCCCCTCACCCTATGCCCTAGCATTCTTGCGCGTATTATCCTTTTGCTTCACTAGCTAGTGAGCCCTACATCTTCCGCGATCGCGATCCAAGAACCATAATAGCCTCCACAGCTTCAAAATGAACCAGCCCCGCCTCCATGTCTAAATGTACTCGCCCTGCTTCATGAAGCCCCTGCACCCCCCCTCTCCGAATTCGATCATAACTCTACGCCATCACTTGTGTCTGTCACTTGTGCAAACAAACCTACACTCATCCGTCTGTCACACTAAACCCGATTACATGGAACGTCTGCTGCATCTACGCCTCAAGTAATATGTAGCACCCACGACCCCTCCGTCTCGTTGGGACGTGCCCGTTTGGTGTGCTTGCTTCTAACCAAACACCTATGTTCATTTTTTACCTGCGCCTCAAGGCCAGTCCAAGTCTGATCACACCCTGCTTAAAGTGTCTCCCACACTTTCTCATGCTACCGCGACTTCAATTCGCTCCAGACCCCTTGTGTCCACATGACTTCTCCTACACCAACACCCATGTCTGACCTCGCTTTATTGATTACAAAACACATTCCTTCTCCTTCCTCGTGATCACCACCACCATGCTCTCATACTAGTTTGTTAGAATTCTTGGGAAACATATAAAAAATATATTATTATTGAAATAAAGGTATAAGATTAATTCTAAAAAATATATACTCACAATACTAGTTATAGATAACAGGATCATAAGACTAATTACATATTAAATTTCGCTCAAGGACCTAATGAATGTTTAATTTAAAGAATATCATAAATCAAACTCTAAATATATAATATCTTTCCAAATAATCGGAAAGTATATTATTCAAGCTAAAGCACTTCTATGGAGCTTATCATAATTAAAACATCTTCCATTAATATTTAAGAAATTATTACAAGGAATTTCCCATTTTTGTACTTGTACAAGGCGTCAATATAAAGTGAAAAAAGAAAATAAGCTATTTTGGATACCCTAAATGTAGAAATTATTAAGTGCGATCACAAGACGGTCCAAAGACGAATCAGGATGCGCCACATCACTCTGTTACACAGCGACACACAGCAAAAAGTGACATAACGCATCCTAATTCGTCTCTGGATGACTTCTGATGACCGCACATAATAATTTCGCCAAACAACGAAAATGCAACAAGGTTGAGGTATCAATATAAAGTAAACTCTAGAATACTTAAAACTCTCAAGGATCCAATTATTCTTTAGTACTGTAGAATAAGATAAACTCTAAAATTTCGCTCAAGGATCCAGTTACATCAAACCAAGCTTCAAGCACCAATTATATGCCCTCTAAAAGATTAAAAAAAAAAAGAAAAGCATAAAAAAAATGAATTGCAATAAAAAAAAAAACACAGAGGCAAAGCTTAAAAGATACAATAAAATAATACACTGAACTGTCAAGTTACATGAAACAATTTCCAGAAATGGATGAACTAAACTATTGATCAAACAACTTCACCGTAAATTAAGCAATATCCTCGTAAATACAAGTAGCATATAGATACAGCTGGGGAAATTCCCATGCAACACGTGTTAGAATATAATATTGGAGAAAAAATAAAAGAAATTAAATTATTTCTTATATAGATATAAATGGAGTGAAATCTAGAAATGCCAGTGAAATATCAACCAACTAAGCTATACACCATTCCTAACTTTGTATACAGTTCTTAAGATTTTTTGAGTCCTGATGCTTTCTTACAAATCACCGGAAAAATTGAATGCTGCAGCCGAATCTGTAGCCTCCCATAGTATAATACTATGCCAAGACTCAGATCTCCTTCCAGCATTAGGCATTCCAATAATAGTTAATTAAAAAACTCCTGTGAGAGCCACATTCAAATATGCAGAGAACCGAAGCTTCCACATTTGATGGTACAACCTGCCTTGTCATTATTGCTTTATCTGGTGATTAATATCGGGTATAATAAATTTGGATTGTTTAAATCCAAGTATTAAGTCAAGCATCTTCACTGATGATTGAACATAATTTCCATTTACCCTCACCATCAATCATCCTCAACTCCATGGAATGGAATGGAATTAAAGCAGGCCGCTGCAAAAATAACAAAACAGAGATGAGAAAAAGTAGAAAAGGGATCATTGTCGAATAAGAAAGTAATAATTTGCTATTTTACTGCTTCTTAAAGCAGTTTTTAAGTACAAAATTTTTTAATTTTTGTACTGAAAAACTGCTTTAAGAAGCAGAAGGAAAGCCGTCCCAAAGTAAGCCTTAGTGCATACTTGAGAAGATGTGATAACCGTTATGCCCATTTCCTTTGCTAGCTTGTACAGGTGTTCCTCGATGTCTACACTTGTGGCACTGAAGATAGAGAAAAGAAACAGGAACATCATTGTTGGCTTCAAAAATTGAAATGCGTTACGATTGAAGAAGCTACTAAGCTTGAATGAGAAGTTACTTGGTGCACTCATCGAGGATGCCGAATTTAGGATGATGGAAAAATAGACGAGCCTGAAAAAATAATGATAAGTTGATAAATATATAAAAAAAAGAGTGAATTTTAACAGAACGCTGCACGGTCTTCTCAACTCACCATGCCTAGCCTTTGCTGTTCTCCGAGTGAAAGAACGTCTTCCCAGTTGGGGCTGGAATCCCAACCTTCTCTGTCAAGAAGATAAACTAATCGCACACTCTCGAGAATGGACTTCAAGCGTGAATCAAGAAGATGAGAAAGGTTTGACGAGTCACCTACATGTGGTGTGTTGTAAGAGAAAGAATGAAGTTAGAGAACATAGAACAATCCATGCATGTATATACGCCACGATAAATAATGTCCTATCACATCCTCAAGTGCTAACCTTCAAATTTTTTTTTTAAAATATTTGATGTTCGGCAATTTACAAAAACATAAATGAATACAGAATAGAAACCGCCTGATGAAAACTAGTATTTCTTCAAGTGGTTAAGATCTGGACCCAAGAGTGTCTTACCTTCATGTGGGTAGTTTTTTTGCTGTTATAGTAGAAAAAGTAGCCAGTAAAAAGCTGTTTGCTCGTATAAAAATACTGCACAGATTCTTACCTGTTTTTTTTTCCCCTTGAATTATCTCAAGACAAAGCATTCTTTTTAAGAAAGAAAAATAGAAATTATGAAAAAAAATAGCATTTAAAAAGTCCTATGAGCAAAAAGAATAAACCATAAGCCGTCTCAAACAAAACCCAAAGGATAACTGATAGGATATTCCTAGTAGGGATAATTAAAATAAATTTTTGCTAACCTAATGTGTTGAATGATCATGGAACCCATAACTCAACAAATTTTGATAGAAAATCTTGAGCACACGGATTAACCGTTCTGACTATTAAATTGTTCATTTTATGGCTTTTAGATTGCAATATGTGTGCCTCCTCATCCTCTTTTAGCAATAGACCACTATTAGAGATTCCCTCCCCCCCCCCGATCGTCTCCTTCAACGACGCCACCCCAAGCTCCAACTCCGGACCCAGTCGTAACCCTAGCCAGCTACCTCTGTTCTTCAACTCTTGTAAGAACGCCGACCTGACTCCCGCTGTCGACCACCTCAGAACACAAGCCCGAGCAAGTCGTCGACTCCAGCTGATCTCCAGTCGCCAACTTCAATTGCTCCGACCAAACTCTTGTCGTGCCCTAACCGACCCGACCAAGCTCGTCGCTAACCAGATCCCTCCGTCGGCCAACCCGACCACCGCCAATGTCGACCCCTCCGATTGCAGCCGTGTCCTAGCCCGACGCCCGTGCGTGGCCTCCGCCTCCCTACCCGATCGGGCTCCCCTCCCTCTATTTGTGTGTGTGTATATAATAATAATAATAATAATAATAATAATACTAAAAAGAAAAAGGGAAAGGCAATCGACAACAAATCGTCGGCAACTAATCTGCAACCAACCATCGTCAATTGGAGCTTCTAAAAACCAATTCTCCTCTGTATCCGATTTCCAAGTACATATCTTCTCATAATTTTTCTCTTGCCCATAAGACTTCCTTACAAATATCAATTCTAATTCCATCACAATAAAATCTATTTGAGGCACTTGGGAACAAGAATTAGAAGAATATAATAAGAGAAGAGATGAATGCTTTGAAAAAAATAAATCACTTGGGAGAATGTTGAACTACCAAATGGGAAGAAAATGATAAGATACAAATATATATTTTTGTTCTATTAAATATAGAGCAAATAGAAGATTGGCAAGGTATAAAGAGAGAATAGAAGCCAAAAGTACATTTAGTCATAAGAAATGATTGCTAAAAATTTTTTATTCATGTTACGAAAATGAATATAAAACATATCTTAAGTTCTCTTACAACTAATTATGGATAATCTATACAACAACATGATGCGATAAATGCTTTCCTACGTGAGAATGTTTTAAGAGTTTATATGGATCCACTACTTGGATTTGAGATTCTTTCAAAAAAAAAAAGTATGCAAATTAAAAAGAAAAATCTCTATATGGCCTTAAGTAATCTTTAAGAGCATGGTTCAATAATAAATTTATAAAAGTCATGAATAAAGCTGAATACAAATAAAACCAAACAAATCATATCCTCATCTTAAAACAATTCACTGATGATAAAATCTTAATTCTTATAATATTGATGATATAATTCTCAGAGATGACAAAAGAGAAAATACATCTCGCAAGAAAAAGATTATTGAAAATTTTTTAACTAAAGAGTTAAGAAAATTGAAATACTCCCTGGGAATAGAAGTTATTCAATCATAACAAGAAATATTTCACTCTAAGAAAATGTCATAGATTTACAAAAGCCACGAATAAGCTAAAAATACAAATAAAACTATAAATTCACATCTTAAAATAATTCACTGATGATAAAATCTCAATTCTCATCATATATATTGGTGATATAATGTCACAGATGATGAAACTAGAGAAAAAGAGTCTCTCAGAAAAAAAGATTGCTAAAAAACTTGAGATAAAAAGCTAAGTAAATTCAAATCTCTCTTGGGAATAGAAGTTGTTCAATCAAAAAAAGAAATATTTCACTCTCAACAAAAATATGTCATAGAACTACACAAATAAACAAAGAAGAGATAAAAGTAAATATGAAATAATATAAAAAATTAGTTGAAAAAATTAATTATCTCACACAGGTCTAGACACCGCATTGCAGTTAGTTTAATTAGACAATTAATGCATAAATCAAAGAAGTCTCACCTTCAAGCTACTTATACAATCCTCAGTTACCATAAACCAAGTCTTGATAAAGAAATTTTCTACGAAAAGCATGATACTTTACAAATTGAAGGGTATATTGATGCAAACTATGCATGATATATCATCATTGAATAGAACATCCATGATTGAATAATATATAGTTTTTGGTGAGAATATCATAAAATGGTGCAAAAAACAACTTGTTTAAAGATCTAGAATTTAGAGACATTGCCTAAAAAATCTGTTAAATTTTGATAGATCCATTTTGAAAAATTTAATCAAATGAGAAGGGCCCAGAAAAGATATATTGTGATAATAAATGTCATTGATATTATAATATGATCATACCAAGTATGCGGAGGTGAATAGATATTTCATAAATGAAGAAACTAAAAAATGGCCTAATTTGCACTCCATATGTGCCAACAAAAAAAATCTAATAGACATTCTCACCAAAGTCACCAAAGTACTCTACAACCCTACGTTTAAAAATATTATAAGCAACCTCGGAAAAGTAGATTTATATCATTCAATTTGAGGGGGAGTGTTGAAAGATCATCAGACTCACAAGTCAACCAATCTTAGTATAGAGATTCTTGAGCATACGGATTAAGGGTTCTAACTATTAGATCAAACTTTAGATTGAAATCCGTGTGTCTTCTCTTCCTCTTCTAGCCGTCGGCCTCTCTTGGGGACTTATTTTTCCTTTCTTTTTAAAAGAAATAACTTATTTTCCATGTAAGACTTTAGGAGAAGTTTGTATATACTTCCACACATTGTATAAAACGAAGCAATTAAAATCTTAGTTTTTTTCTACTTTTCGACGCAATATATTAGCTAGAGTGAATTGGAATAATTGTTAACTTGAATTGAATATAAATCACGATCCAATTATGGGCACGTTTAGAGTGGTTACAATTCTCCGTAAAAATAGCTATAAAATTATTGTAGGAAAAAGTAACTTTTATGGAGATTTGTTATTTCCAAAATTTACCTCGGAACTTAGTTCGTTAAAACTCCCTCGCCGAATAAGAAAAGCGAGCGGAGGCCGGGGCCGAATTTTCGGAGCCCACACTTTGAAAAGTAGAGCAACACTTTTTATGCCCATCACATTTTAGTAGATTTGATTGTAAAAAGCTACATATCACCACAAGAATTTCGAAAAATAGAAAAAATTTATAGACAAAGAGTGTGACAGCTATCCAGAAAAAAATATTTTGTGAAAGAGCTATCCCAAATGAACTCTAAATGAAACATGTCTAACACCTAATCAAAATCCATTGCAACTCGGCCATAGGCCTGAAGATAGAAAAAAAATTCTAAATCCATTGCAACAAATCCCCCATATAGGTCTCATTAAGTTAAAACTCTACAGTAATATTACTTCCACATTAAAGAAAAAAAAATGGCGTTCCCTACTAGTAAAAAAAAAAATATTGAATTATCTAAAAGTGATTGCATGAATAATTTTAATCAAGTTTAACACAATATGGGTTTCAACAAGTGTGCAAATTTCAACTTACTAAGTGTTTTTTTTTTTTTTGGATTCGTAATTATCATTTCTTGTAGCTTGAATTATCATTAAATTGTTTTTTTTTTTTTTCATATTTTTGAATCCCTCAAAAGTAATGCGTTATTAAAATTACAGTTTTATGAATTGCAAAAATTTGTGCTAGTGCTACATAATTTCAACACCTCATGATTGGTCTGCATAAGAAATCCTAGACTTTAAAATGTTCGGCATCACAACCACAAGAGATGATATTCATGGTTATGCATAGGGCAGCATTGCCTTCCTCTTCCCTCCCCAAGACAATTCATCGCTTGTATATTACAAGTTTAATCCCTCACTTGTGCCCTTTCCATTACTATAGTGAAAGCAAAGCTTTCTTGGACCGTCTCCCTACCTTGTTTAATCAATCATGCCTTCATCTTGCAACTTTACATCCATAGCTTTAACCTTTCGTGGAACCATCATCACGCTAAAGGTTTAGATATGCTATGGAGCCAAAACATTATAGTACATTGCTATTTAACTTTCCCAACAAATTAGCCAACCTTTCCAGGCTAACAATAGACAATAGACTGGCCTAATGTAATATCTCCAGGGTATCCTATAACTCACCCATAACACCAAACTTTTAATTGTTCCCTATAAACTTAAAATTGAATGTTCCATACATTATGAACCATCCCTATAGTTGCACAGTTCTCAGGCAACACTTTTCTTTCCCAAGAAAAGCACCCTCTAGAACTGCTGAATTGAGTTTAAGGTTAAGTTTAGACAAAGACGTTACGTGCGAGGAATTCATTGTCATTATCAGCATAACGTATTAGTGCTTCATGATAATCCTATCTATAAGTTACAGGCCATGACCAATTTCAATCATCCAATTAAAGCATTAAAGTGATCCATAAAGAGATGCATGGAATGCAAAATTGTGTCCTCTTCCAGGTATATACCCCAACTATTGCATGAGAATTTAATTCTTACAATTCTTCTTTTAATAGCACATAGAAAGAATTAAAAAGGGAAGATAAAAATATTATCAACAGCAATGACATACCTGTCCTCCGCATCGCTTCCTCCACATCCTCACGAGAAAGTGGGTAGATAATTTGATCCCTTAAAGTTCCCAAACAAGTATAGGGCCTCTGAGGAACACAAAACAGGCCACATTTTGGTTGCACCCCCTTATTGACATTCTGTGATGGTTTCACAAGTCTTCCACTTACAACGGGCCACAAACCCCGAAGTATTCTAAAGATGGAACTTTTACCACTTCCATTAGGCCCTTAAAAATAATAAGACATGAAGCAGCAATGTCAAACACGTTCTCACTTAAAGCAAACGAGAATGAGTTTAGATCATTTACCAGTAACAAGAAGGCTTTCCCCTTGCACAACATCACAAGTTAACTTTGCAGCCAACAGCTTCTGCGCTGGCGTAATGACATCAACGTTGGAGAAGGAAATACTATCTTGTTTGGGAAGAACATTCACTTCAAAGGATACAGAAACAGCAGGTAGAGATATATCTGTAGAACAGTGAAAAGCTCCATAAACACCTTCAGAACATCAAATGGCCCCCCAAAAAAAAAAACAAACGCTAAAAAATAATTCAACGCAAAGTGCTTGATCCCCAATCAAAGCAAATCACAAGCTTCAAAAATTTTCATTTACCCGCACTTATTAGCGAGAAGGTACAGGAAGGTTCAGATATTTTGTAAATTAATATAACGCTAAATTGCACATGTATGCATTACAATATAAACAAGAAAACAATCTTTGCAACTATTTACAGATATAGATTGATTCATATTTTATTATTTATATTTATAGCATGGAGCAAATGACAATATCAAATCATGATTTTACAAAGTCTAGGGTAGTACAGGCAAATGATAACAAAAAATTTAAACTACTTAAACGGAACTGTCCAATGCTTCCATACATATATCAAGAATAAGACTGAAGAATAAAAATAAAGTTGTACCAAAAGCATGCTTAAGCGACCATAAAACAAAAAACAATCATGCCTTCATTGCCGGCCTTCCCTTGTTGTTGATATTCTATCTATAACCAATGTAGCCTTCATTGTTGCCCTACTTGATATAACCTTCATCGCAACCCTTTGCCACCGCAAGTCTGAAGAAGATTTCTCCCAAATTTTGGCCAAATGAAGGACTCTATGGTGCACCAAGGAAGAGGAAACCTCCAAAATATGCAACATTCCTATCGCTTAAATGGGAAGAGTTACCTGTGGTCTCAATTTGTGAAGACCTACTTGAAAGGAAAAGGAAAGATGAATCACCTCTTTGGGGTAGGACTAAAATAAGGAGATTATAATTTTTGGGCATTAGATGAAGCAAACTCCATGATTATGTCATGGCCATGGAATCCATAACTCCAGATATTAGTGATACTTTCATGTTCCTATTTACTGCAGAGGACATATGGGATGCCACAAGGCAAACCTTCTCAAAAGCTTGGGATTCTACTCAAGTCTTTGAAATTAAGGTTAAGGTGGGAAGCACAAAACAAGAAAGCAAGATCGTGACTGAATATGTTACTTTCCTTCAAGGCTTGTGGCAAGAACTTGATCACTACAAATGTATAGAGACCAAGTGTCCAGAAGATGTTGCTATCTGTTAGACCGGCCCAAGGGGGGGCCAGCTGAACCGTTCCCTAGTGGACCGATTTTTGTCTACAGGCGGAGGGCCCAAGGGGGGCGGCTAAGTAGATGAGACCCACACAATAATTAAGCATTGTATTTGAGGAAAATTTCAAATTAGGGGTTGTTTAGGTATCAAACTTTTTATTTAATTAGCCTTGTCTTGCTAGGGTTAGGGGATCTTGAATTTGAATCTAAATTTGGAATCTCTTGTATGGTGCTTAGGCTCTAGTCTTTGGCTAGAGATTTGGAGAGTTGGTTCTTCCTCTCGAATTGAAGATCCCTGTATCTTGTGCCCTTTTTTTTCTTTCTATTAGTGAATTTCAAGTATTTTTCTCTCAGATTTTCTACGGTATTTATAAAAATCTATTATGTTTTGAAACTTCTGTATTATTGGTGGCTATTTCCTAGCACTATCCTGAAAAGCTTTATTGAGAAATATAGAGTGTATGACTTTTTTGCTGGATTAAATGTAGAGTTTGACCAAGATAGCGTTCAGATCATTGGCAAAGAGGAGATACCTTCACTTAATGAAGCCCTTTTTCCCATTCATGCTGAGGAAAGCTGACGAGGGCAATGATGGAACCAAAGGCTATTAATGGTGCAACAATGATTACACCCAAAAAAGGCGATATGAAATGAAAGAGTTAAGGATTCACAAAATTTAAAGACAAATACTCCATTTGGTGCAATTATTGAAAGAAACCAAAACAAACAAAAGAGACCTGCTATATGTTACATGAAAAGCCCCAAAATAAGGAGTAGAATCAAAGAAGTGACGACTCGACCTTGGTGATCTCAAGGTCAATGGCGACATGAGTTGCTCAGGAACGAATGAATCCAGGGGGAACTAAATCACCTTTCAGCCTTTTATCAATGTGACCTCGGTGACCGGGCCGGACTCCGGCTAAATACGACCGGGACAACATGAAATCATAGAATGCATCCTAAAAGACCCACCCTGGGCCAGCCCACTAGGGTATAAAGTCAAAGTATTGGCCCGGAAGATATTGATAAGGGATATCATAAGCTAACACTATAACAAGAAAGCCCAACTCAGAAAAGCAGTACAGCTTTTAGATAGCTCAACGAAGAAGATATTGATAAGCTAAAACAACTCCTGTCATCCCTTTGGAAAATCACATGCATCTTATTTTCTCGCACTTTCAAATAAGTTTCCTATATCCATTAGATTAAATGTCTCTAGAAATCATTTGAAAGGATTATGGATCATTGCCTCAGGAGCCACAGATCACATGACACACTTAATTACCCACTTCAAGAACTACACTCATTGCTCGAGTGATAAGAAAATCACCATTGCTGATAGTACTTTTACCACAGTAGCAATCCAATGAGACATATCATTATCTCCCTCTCTCTCTAAAAAATGTGCTCCACATATCTCAATTATCCACAAATCTAATTTCATACAAAAACTTATCAGTGACCATAACTGTTAAGTCCTATTTAACCCTACTTGTTTATTTCAAGATCAAGGATCGGGGAAGAAGATTGGACTTACTAAGGAGAAAGATGGATTATACTACCTAGAAGAGCTGAGCAAATCCATCTTTATCAATAATTACTATTTTATGTTATCCTTATTTAATAAAGAATCTACTGTTTGGCTTCATCAGATTAGGACATCCATCTTTTGATGTTTTAAAAAGCATGTATCCAAAACTTTTTTATGAGTTGAAAAATAAATCCTTTCATTGTGAAACTTGTGAGTTAGCCAAACATAAACAAGTTTTTTTTCCAAACAAAAATGAGAGATGTCATTCTCCCTTCCACCTTATTCATAGTCATATCTGAGGATCCTAAAAAATCCATAACATTTCGGGGTCTGATGGTTTGTATCCTTTATTGACAACTGCACTCGAGTATCTTTAATCTTTCTCATCAAAAATAAATTCGATGTTAGCACTATCCTCCCTATTTTTCACACATTGATATAGAACCAATTCAAGGTAAAAAATTTCTTTCCGACAACGCCAAATATTACTTTAACTAAACCTTATCCTCCTGATTTCAAAAGGAATGTGTCATTCATGAGTCTTCTTGCATTCATACTCCACAACAAAAAGAAGTTGCAGCAAGTCCACCCATGCACTTCTATTCCACCACAATTTACCCAAATCTTAATAGGTGGGAACCCTTCTGATTTCCATATATCTCATAAGCAACCTTCAACAACCTTGGGACCAAAAATATTAATGGATATTATATATCCTCTTTTTATCCTGAATTCTGAACACATAAAAACCTCACAACCAGAATCTTTGGGTGCACTGCCTATGTTCACATTCACAATCATTATAGAAGAAAATTAGATCCAAGAGCACTGAAATATATCTTTGTCGGATATTCATCCACCCATAGAAGTTATAAGTGTTATCACCCATCCACCAAGAAAACCCTTGTATATGTTGACGTTACCTTTGACAAATAAAAATCCTATTTCACCAAACCTCATCTTCAGGGGGAGATTGAAACTAAGGAAGACGAGGAAAGTGAGCTTGCCCCTCTTAACCTTCTAGCTTCACCTCAAACCAATCAATCTAAACCTGAAATTAAAGCTAGGGAAACTGAGAACAAAGCTATTATGGATAACATGAGGTTTGAAATAGCATACTCCATGTGTACTACTCCAAATTATGCTCAAGAGCAGATCCAAAAATCTGAACCATCTCCTGAAATTGAAGTAAATACAAGTTTACCAAAAAAATCTCCCATGTATCCCATAACCAACTTTGTATCATTCCATAACTTCTCACTTTCATACAAAAAATTTTTAATCACACTAAATGATATTCATATTCCTAATAATATTTTTGAGACTTTATCTGATGAAAATTGAAAAAGTGCAATGAAACATGAAATGTAAGCCCTAGAGAAGAACAATACATGGGAGATCACTGACCTACCACTAGGAAAACGACAACCGACTGCAAATGAGTGTTCTCTGTGAAATATAAAGTTGATGGTACACTGTAAAGGTATAAAACAATATTGGTAGCAAAAGGGTACACTCATACTTAAGACATTGACTACCAAGAAACTTTTGCACCATTGGCCAAGATGAACACCGCGAGGATCATGCTCTCACTAGCAGCTAATTATAACTATCATCTGGAACAGCTAGATGTCAAAAATATATTTGTACATCGGAACTTGGAAGAAGAAATATTTATAGAGATTTCACTATGATTCAAAAAAAATCTTGGAGGTGACAAAGTGTGTAGGTTAAAAAAGACACTATATGAGCTAAAGCAATCACTTAGAGCTTGATTTAAAAGATTCTCAAAAGTTATGCTACTTAATGGATATCGACAAACTAAGAGGACTATATGATGAGGACATCAGCAGGAGATTTCGGCGCGTTTATCAGAGGAGACACCGGAGATCAACGGCTACGATCAGGAACTTATATTTTTGAGTCATTTTTTTATTTTTATTTTCAATTTTACTGTTTTACCCTTATGAGTGGTCATTTGATGTTGTAGCCCCGAGGGCATTTTAATTTTTATTTCTTTTCTTTTTGGTGAGGCCTATATATAGGTCATTTCTATTGTATTTGGGATGATGATTTGATGAATGAAATTCCAGTTTGTTTTCTTAGTGATCTCTTAGTGAGTTCATGTGATTGGTGAAGCCTAGGAGAGGTCATCGGAGTACACAACAACCTACCAGCCGGTGAGCTCTTGGTTTTTTTTCTATTTTATTGTATCCTACCTCCATTCTTCCCCCATACCGCCGGCATCCATCCCCCCCCTGTCAAACAGATAACCCCCACCCATTTCTCCCCATCACCCGTCTCCTCCATCTTTCCTCCCACCGGCCAAATCCCACCACCAAACC